GCACTTTGTCTTCATCCTTTAACTCTCAGATTGTATGTTTTTGCCATTGAGGGATGTTTCTTGTAGTCAACAAGAAGTTCTATTTTGTTCTTAACCCAATCAGCCATTCTGTATCTTTCGAATGGAGTTTTAATACTGTTTACAGTACTGGATTATTGTTGAGGAATATATTTTGAAACCTGTAATTTGGTTGATATTATTTTATTGGTTGGCTTAAACACTTCATTTTTTCTCTTGTTCATCTTTCAAGATTTCTGGTTTAATGAACTTAACATGTTACTCTTTCCAGCTTCCAATGGTTCATCTCTTCCTCTTGTGAAATTCCTTCCTTCATAGGCTCTGGTATTTGTACCCATTTTTCTTCCTTGTAAGTGTAGGGTCTCCTTAGAATCTGTGGTGCTCACTTACTGGCCATGAATTACTTAGTTGTCTCAGAGGGTATTTGCCTTTCTGTCACTTTTTTTAAAAAATAATATTGCTGCAGACAGCAATCTTGATTGACATAAGAAACATCCAGCACCTTCCTGCAATTCATTTCAAGTGCATGGCTGCAGGGCCATGTGTGTTCATGCATCTTGGAATTCTAAGTGTAATTTTGATGAGTTTTGCTTTATAGGTAAATTGAGATGTTGGATTCTTGGGTTTTACCTCTTAATCATGACCCAGAGTTCTTGAAAGTCATAGTCATACCTATTTGTCTTTTACTTATTGCTTGTATCCTTGACCTTGTCTTGAATTCCTGATTTTCTTCTACTTGGTGTAACTTGCTGTTCATTCTTTCCACTGGGTTTTTAATTTATTGACTCTTTTCACTTCAACATTTCTATTTGGGTTTGTATTTGATTTTTTGTTTGTTTCTTTGCTATTTTTTAAAATCTCAATTTTCGGGGCTGGAGAGATGGCTCAGAGGTTAAGAGCACTGACTGCTCTTCCAGGGGTCCTGAGTTCGGTTCCCAGCGACCACATGATGGCTCACAACCATCAGTTATAAGATCTGGAGCCCTCTTCTGGTGTGCAGATATACATGGAAGCAGAATGTTGTATACATAATAAATAAATAAATAAATAAATAAATAAAATCTTTTTTAAAAATCTCAATTTTCTTGATGAATTTCTCATCCCTGTTTCTGATTTTCTCATCAAGTGTCGCTGTTTTTGTTGTTGGTAGTGGTTTGGTTTGCTTTGCTTAAGACAGGGTCTCAATGTATAGCTGTGGCTGATATAGAACTTGCTTTATAGACCAGGTTGGTCTTAAACTCACAGAGATCCACCTGCCTCTGCTTCTTGAGAGCTAAGACTAAAGGTGTGTGCCACCACACCCAACCTCATGTAGGTTTCAACTGACACCCTCACTTCATTCATCAGTTTTTTTTTCAAATATACTTTCAGGTTGTTGGTAATTTTTAACAGACTTTTGAATTATTTATCTGGCATTCCAACCATTTTGGCATATTTATACTCAGTTGTAGAGGACTTCTGGGTTCTTTAATGTTTCACACTGCCTTACTTTCCATATCCCCTGCATTTGTACCCTGAAATTTGTGCTCCAAAATATAGGCTCTAGTTGCCCTAGGTGTTTGCCTTTATTATTAGTAGCAGTTAGTACTTTCCAACCAGTAGATCTGTGTCTCTGATCACAACTTCCTAGATTCACACTGCTTCTCAGACTGGACAGTCACATCCAGTGGGCATGTGAGGTACATTTTGGGTCTGGCTATTTTAAAAAACATGTGGAATGTTGCCTCCTAAGCCAAAAGGTTTGTCTTTGCAACCTCTCCTACCATAATCCCCTTCCTTGGCGATAATGAGTAAGCTAGGATGTGCTGGGGACCCTTCCTCCAGTTGATACTTCCAGGGGACAGACACAGCCTTACACCTTATGATTACAGAGAAGCAGCTTGTTAGCTTTTCTCCTTTGACTGCAGCCCAACTTTGGTCCCACTTCCTTACTCCTGTGTTTATCATTCTATGTTAGGGTCTACTGTTTCTTCTGTAAATCTAAAGTTCAGTATTTCCAAGTGCCTCTTTGTCTTGGTCTACTGTTTAATGTTGCCCTTCCTGCCTCTCCATCCAGCCCACTTCTCCTGGCAGCTCTGCACTTCATCAGTGGAAATGCAAAACTGAATGTCTCGGATTCACCATTTTCCCCCATCTGCCCTCATTCTGGAGCACCTGTTCATTCAGAATAGCATCCTCTCAAGAGCTAGGAAACTAGGCAGGAGACTAGAGTGCCTGGCTTTTGTATAATTTTTAAGATATCTTAAAAGCAGAAAGGAAAAAGTTGAGTTGCCTGCATCACCTCTCCCCAAAGCCCACATACAGCAAAGCAGAGAGAGAGATGCCTGCCACTTCTAGAAAGGAAAGTAAATTGAGTCTTGACCTTAGACTTAAAATTTTGTACCAGGTTTTTCATTATGACACTTAGTGCCAGTGAGAAGCCCACAACCCCTTCCTCTAAACAAGTACCCAAGAACTGAAACTCAAGAGCTACATTAGCCCATGGCTAGTGCCTTTTTCCACCACCTCTATCTGCCTTTAGACACCACAACCTGAAAGAAGCCTCCACCTGTGGGAAGTTGGGGCAGGAAAGTGAACATGTGACTTTGCCTTTCAGTTCTTGTGAGACACACTACAGTGTGTGCCAGACACACTACAGTGAGATCCAATGCTCTGCAGAGCCAAAACGCCTCAGTGACTCTCTAACCCAGCCCTGTCATGCCACAGAGACCTGTCCCCTAAAGGAACCGATTTGGGTTTCACCTGCATTATCATTATCCTTAGTCTGGACTTTGGTGGACCCCTGAGATAGTGCAGGTTCTTTCATCCATTAGACTCTGGTGTAACTGACTTCAGCGCATGCCACCATCCATCTGCCAACCTCAGATAGCACACCACTGACTAGAATTCCAGCCACTGCAGATAAGACAAAGTAGTATCCTCAGGAATCCTTGCAATTCAGCATGAACCAGAAAACCTGGTGTTGACTGGAGCCATACAGAGCTCTGTTCCAAGGAAAGTGACCATCACAAAGGCTCTGGACCTATCCTCATGCCAGATGGGGAGATAAGTGGCCCCAGTTGGTTGGGTTCTATTCTGGCCTGCATCACCTGTATCTGAGTATGCTCCTTTTCACCATAAATTTACCACAGCAAAAGGAAGCCTGCAACAGAAAGACTGTTCCTCCCAAGTGCCACACTGGTCTCTGTGGCCTTAGAGATTTCGGTCTTTCCTGCCATAATGCCCACTATGCCTCCCTCCCAATCCCAGGTAGTACAAAACAGAGAGCAATTAACTGATGATGAAAAATCAAATAGATGTCAAGGCATTGTGCAAGAACTAGTTACTCTGTGGGGACACCAGAGCTGGAATGATTGCTACAGTGCCTGAGCACATGTTGGTGGCCAGATGAGTTGCCTGTGTCTAGCACAGAACCAGCCTGAGACTCTGTAGATAAATTTCCCTTTTAGGAGCTCCTCGAGCTCCTTATGAAGACTAATGCAACCTCTTAATTTAGTACAAACTTGGGTTTGGAATACCCTCTAGTGGTGAAACAGTGACAACACCCCAACTGCTAAATCACCACAAACCTCAAGTTTGGGAGCTCAGAGTAAATGGTCCAGCTGCTTAGATCTCTGGGTGCACAAGGTCAGATTATGAACAGTAAATCTACAGGCTACGCCTTGACTGTGCAGATGGTGTGCTTTGCCAACAAGCTGAAGGTTTCAAGGAGGCCTGAGGATAGTATGTGTATTTAGCATTCACAAACCTCAGCTTCAGTCCTCAGCAGCAAAAACTAAGAGATTGTGACCTTCCCTAATGAACAAAATAAAGGAAGAGAGGTTCTTGGAAGACTGCTCAGTTGGTAAAGTGCTTTCTGAATAAGTATGGGGCCCAGAATTCAAACACCAGGCATTGCCCATAAAAGCAAGTGTGGCACTTACCAGTAATGCTAATACTAGGAAAGCAGAACAGAAGGGTCCTTGGGGATTGCTGGCCAATTAGTCGGACCAAATTAGTGTGTGTCTGTGTGTGGTATGTACAGAAGAGTGAGGCCTGGAGATGGTGTGGGATCACCTGACCCTGGAGTTATAGTCATTTTTCAGCTGCCTGACTTGGGTGCTAGAAACTGAGCTTGGGTCCTCTGCAAGAACAGTGTGTCCTCTTCCCAGCTGTGCCACCTCTCCTGTGTCATACCTCCTGCTTTCAGAAGGTATCTTGATCATTCACAACAATTCCCTACACGCTAGTAAAGATTGTGATGAATTTTCAGACATTTTTTGGGGGACAGTGGGGATATATTTGGTATTTGGTATGTGAGGGAAAGAAAAAGAAAGAAAGAAAGAAAGAAAGAAAGAAAGAAAGAAAGAAAGAGAAAAGAAGGAAGACAGGAGGAAAGGAGGGAGGGAGGGAGGG